GGACAGGACTTGTTCGGGGTAGGTGGGATTGGGTGCTAGGACCCCCCACCTGTGTATGAGGCCCGGGGCCATCTGGGGCACGGGTATTGCTGGGGTGTCGGAGGGGTTTTGCTCGGGAGGCTTCAGGCAGGTTGCTGAAGCGCTCTGTGGGACTGGTTTGTGGCCTGTTTGGAGAGGTCACCAGTCGGGGGGCTGTAAGGAGCCCCGGATTTGAGCAATTTGCCCTGAGCGGACGCCCTCAGCTGTGCCCAGACACGGCCCGGTCCGTCACACCCAGGCAGAAGACAGAGGCCAGGGGAGGGGCTGTCAGCGTGCGTATCCACAGCTCCTTTCACAGCTACACATGTGCTTATGGATACTAATGTTGCATCTGCACAAGGAAATCTCATCAACTCTGTCCTGTTGAGCTACAGACCCCACTTCAAATCCCTCCCCCAGTCAGCCTTCTCCAGGGCTGGGTCCAGATAATACAAAGTCCTGCTGCGAGTGCAGGGGGCTGGTCTGAACTAAGGATGTTAACTAGCGAGTCATTTAATAGTCGAGTAGTCGATGGAATTTCCATCCACTGCTCGACCCGTCGATAGGCACTTCCCATTCCTCCTTAGAACCGTACCAGAGCCCCCGCTGGGCCCCTCCTCGGGCTCTGGTACACTTCAGAGGAGGAATGCAGAACTCTGCCTGTAGCCCGGGCCAGCGGGAAGTCCCACTGACTCCTGCACATGGGTGCCAGCTTTGAAACGTACACGCGTCCCCAGTGGGGGCTCTTGTGCATTTCAGAGCGGAAGTGCCTTCGTGCGGTGCTGGTGCTTTGAAATGCCTTGTGGAGCCCCGGACTCCTGGAACCTGGGATCAGCTGACCCCAGGCTCCACGCAGCACTGCTCCTTTGAAACGCTGTGGCAGTATTTCAAACAGGCAGAATCACATGGAAGCTGTACCTGGGCTGCCGCTTTGAAGTACCCCTGTTCCCCCCATTCTTTGCTGCCTCTTTCTGATAGAGGCAGCAAAGATGGAAGGGGGGAATTGACTAGTCGACTGACTATTTGATCAGCTTTTGCTTATTGGCAGTCGAGTAGTCGACTAGTCATTAACACCCTTAGTCTGGACACCTCGGGTACGTCTAAACTACATGGCTCCGTTGATGGAGCCATGTAGATTTGTTTGTTCGACAAAGGAAAATGAAGCCACGATTTAAATAATCACGGCTTCATTTAAATTTAAATGGCTGCCCCGCTCTGCCAATCAGCTGTTTGTCAGCAGATTGTGGCAGTCTGGACGCTCCCCTGCCGACATGAAAGCCCTTTATCGACCTACGAAGCATAATGGGGAGGTCGATAAAGGGCTTTCAGGTCGGCGCGGGAGCATCCAGACTAGCATGCTGAGCCGACAAACAACTGATCAGCTGGTTTCAGCCATTTACATTTAAATGAAGCCGCGATTATTTTAATCGTGACTTCATTTCCCTCTGCCGATCTGTCTAATCTACACGCCTCCATCCATGGTGGCATGTAGTCTAGACACACCCCTCTTGTCCTACAGGTCTGTGTCAGCAGAGGCGGGAGTCGGCCTGCCAGATCCTCGGGTGTTTTCCCCTCGCCTCTGGGCTAAAGGTTACCAGGAGGTGTCTCCTCCAGTTGCTTTGCCAGTCCATTGCCAGTCATCCTTTGCTTCCCAGAACAGCCTGGAGCAATGTTCCCTCTGCCCGTTTCCATCCATGAGCGGATACATGTTGTCTGTGCACCGGAAGGAGAAATAAAAGCCTGGCTCTGGGCACTCTGCTCATCAGCAGTGCGGCACTGGAATCTCTCCGGTGCAGCCACCCCATCATCCAGCTCATCAGGACTGGGTCAAAACGAAACCGCTCGCCTTGACTTTCCAAATGATTTGGGGGTTTCTTAAAGGTTGGTGAAAATTATTGTGCAGACTCAACACGTCCTCATGTGTGTGTGTGTCTGTGTATGGGTGTATGGGTGTGTGCATGCGCACATGTATGTGCCCATTTGCACGTGTGCACATGGGCATGACTCACAAGCACTGGGGGCCGGCTCGTGTCAGCTGGCACTGCCCGTAGTTGCAGTTGAGGAAGCCGGGCGTGTTCTTGGTGCAGTTGGAGATGCAGGACAGGCTGGACTTGGTGAGGTAGGGGAAGTAGAACTGGCTGTAGCCTTCGGGGGCAGCTTTCTGGCAGAACTCTGGGGAGGAGAGAGGGGTGTCAGGCAGCTGGATGGAGAGACAGCACTGGCTCTGCCCCCCAGCCCTGCCCCAGCGCTGCTGGGCAGCCCCAGCTCACTCACCGGTGCCATTGAACTTTGGCTGTTCCCCTTCGGAGACTCGGGCGGAGGAGGCATTAAAACATATCGCTGGAAGACACAGGATGAGCAATTCTCAGTCGGGAACTATACACCCCTCTCATGGCCTGCAGGGCACCCCTGGTTGCATGGCCCTACCATGGATCTGGGGGCTGGAAATGGCCTGCCTGGTGAGCCACCCCCTGTCTGGATCTGTGAAAGGTGCACTCGGTGGGGGGAATAACAGGTAGTTCGAACTAGGGCTTTATTTCGAACGCCCGTTTCACTGTTGCGTGTAGACGTGGGCAGTTACTTCGGGCTTGTTAATTTCAAAAAATGGCGCCTGGCCGGGAAGATGCAAATCAAGCGCAGGATATTTAAATCCCGGGCTTGATTTACAATTCTGAATTAGCAAATCCTAGTTCGCAGCCCTAATTCGAATTAGGCTGCAAGTGTAGACATACCCTCTGTCTGTTCGTCTATTCCCACATGGACCTTCCACCCTCTGTCCGTTGGTCCATCCATCCATCCCCACATGCCACCTTCTAGTCATCCATCCCCCACCCCTCTCCTCTATCTATCCATCTCAACACACACCCCCAGCAGAGATTGCCATGCTGGTATGGAGACTTTCCATCCAAGGACCATTGTTCTGCCACCCTGTAGTGGGGTGGAGTGGCCGCCCACTGACCCAGAGGAGGAGGAACCCTCCAGCTGTCATGTTGGGCTGAGGCTGACCTCGCCCAGACACCTGACCAGAAGCTAAGGGTCGGGCCCAGAACTGTAAAAGCCCAGGCAGCAGCCTCAGTCAGGGCTGAGCCTGCCGAGAGACTAGAGACATCCCCTGGGCTCCCAGCCTGGGAAGTGGGGACTGAGGCCTGGCCAGGGCCTCCTACCTCCCTGGGCCCAGAAGCCGCCTACCTGCTCCCTGCCTGGGAAGCTGAGGCCCGGCCCGGCCTATCTTCACGGACGGGGCCGAGAGCCCAAAGAGCCAGCCTGATCCTGTGCTCCGGCCCGTGCGGCCTAGACCAGAGACGCCGCCCAGGACGTCCACGAAGCCTGACCCTGAGGCCTGGCCCAGCCGCCCGACACTGCCTGCACCAGGAGCCCTGCTGAGCTCCGCTGACCTGCAAGCTGTGGAGGACTGGACCGGACTGCCCAAGTGGGACGAGACCCTCTTGGACTCTCTGCCTACCCAGGTACTGGACGAGGGGGAGAACGGAAGTGGCCCAGGGGTTAGTGGGGCTGTTAAGACCCAAGGCCAGCGTGTTTCGGGCTGGAGCCCCACTGAGCCTGTAGCAGCCTGCCTTGCTGCTCCTAGGGCCCTGGGCCGGAGCGCAGTGGAGTGGGTGGGCCTGTGCCCTCCCTGCCACCTACCTATTGGGTGGCAGGCTCCCCCCTTGCCACGGCCACAGGCGACCCACCTGCACCCCTCCAGAACAAGGAGTTCCCAACCTGCTTTTGCTTCTTGGCCTGCCCTGACTGAGGGCCAGGTCCTTCCACCACTTACAGTGATTGTTTGTCTGCAGCCACGCCCGGAACCAGGGCCTGGCCTCTCCCCTTTGAATAAACCGTTTGTTCGTTGCCCGCCCTGACTGAGGGCCAGGGTTTTCCCCAACTGAGAGGGTTTGTTGCTGCCACGCCCTGAGCTAGGGCTGGACCTATCTGTAAACTTACGGGCTACGTCTACACTGGCCCCAAATTCCGGAAGCCAGGGTTGGACGTGGGTAAAGACGCTGGCGGTGTTTGTGCCACCTGCCCGAAGGAAGGGCGGGCGTGCACTGGGGCTTGCCTTAAAGGGGCCGTGTAGTGGGGTGGAGTGGCTGCCCACTGACCCGGAGGAGGAGGAACCCCTCTGGGCAGGCAAGCCGACTACACACCCTCACACCCAGAGACTCACACGAGTTGTTGTTGCTGTTGCAGTTCTGGTTCTGAGCTGCCTCCTCTATTTTTTTCTCCACCTGCTTCGTCACTTCTGCAAACTTTGTGTTGAGTTCCTCAGTTACAGGTAAGGCCAGGAGCACGTAGTGATCCACCACGACGGGAGGAACCCCTCTGGGCAGGCAAGCCGACTACACACCCTCACACCCAGAGACTCACACGAGTTGTTGTTGCTGTTGCAGTTCTGGTTCTGAGCTGCCTCCTCTATTTTTTTCTCCACCTGCTTCGTCACTTCTGCAAACTTTGTGTTGAGTTCCTCAGTTACAGGTAAGGCCAGGAGCACGTAGTGATCCACCACGACGCTGCCCTGCCTGTGGAAACAAACCCAGCATGGGTTAGTGTGTCGGCTTCCTGGGGCCATCGCA